TTGTCTGTTGGTAATCTATGTCGGTAGGATGTGAGCTCCAATCTAAGATACGATAATGCAAGAACTGAGCGAACGTTGTAGCCGATCAGCTGAGGATGGACAGAATGTGGTTGCATTGATAGAGGCTTGGGGTAAGTCCTAGGTCCGCGATTTGGAGAGACTCCTTTCGATGCAGTAATTAGCCTGATGTTGCCGTGGAATGCGATAGGTGTTGGAATATGTGATTGAAGTTTCCCCAACACACGAAAACAGTTCAGCGTATGCTTCATCACACGAAACCGCCGCGTGGGATCACGGTTTTGATGCTTGAAATTCACGGTACTGATAGAAAAAATTCTCCAAGATTACGGTAGGGAAAACCAGGGAAAGAAATAACAGCCAGTGATTCCACCGCAATCATCAGTCTTGTCGATCAGGATCAATCGACACCAATATCTGGGATGAAAGAGCCCTTCAGTGCCTTCAAAGAGCCTCGGACACGTTACTCGATCCGCTCATATCTAACGTGACCACCTTCCAGCTCATTACCCTGTGTGACTGTCTGTCAAAGATGACCCAGCGAGGACTTGAGGTGGGTGGTTTATGATGGTGGCGCTGAGGAAGGTAGCGAGTTGAGCAAAGAGAGCATCTTTATTAGGCTCACGAGTTGTATAGACCGACAGTCATACATACATTCGAGCGTGCACGGTATGTCCTCAGTTTGACACCGAGGTTCCACTGCTCGAACTGTTTTCGATTCAATAGGAATTCGTGAATTCGGTGTAGTAGTATTCTCGCCGGTGTGGGAATATATATTTGCTTTGCTCGGCCGAGTTGACAAGTCTCCTCACTAATTAGAGGAGTTCATATACGAATACTTGTAGAAGTGGACAGGAACCACAAACAATTTCCCGAAGAATTCTCATATTATTATCAACGCATATAGTTGATCATGTGCATATCTTCCTATGATGCTCGCTGTCGCCAGTGCTACTCTCACGTATATACTACTCGTGGTCTCTCGGCATATCCTACTCCTACGTAGTGCAGAGTAATTACTACCGGCTACGCTGGATCGAAATTAAAGGCGGCCTATTATGTGTTCAGGCATTATGGCGAATTGTGTCATCGTGTCTCCACTATTTTCCACTCTTTCAATGTTAGAGTTGAGACTCGAAGGTATTTGATTCAGATGAAGCGTTCGACCGCCTCCCAATTGGCCAGATTCGTTCGGACCAATGTAGCGTCGATGGTGCTTGTTTGAGGTCCCTTAGACATGCTTCAGATTAGAGAAATTACTGACACTCAGCAGTTACCAGTATTAACACACGCCTTCGCAGTGATGCTGAGCTCAGTGGAAGGTGCCAGAAAAGACGAAGAAGTGAGGGTCGCGGGAATTGAACCTCCGAGGTGAACTCTCTTCAGGTGGTGAAAATGCTGGCAGTCATCTGCTCGACCGTTGAGAAAGTTTGGCTGTATGAGTTGAACCTCAATGAGCTGTCAGCTCTACTCACGACATTGCAACAGTGCGAGGCCCCAGCTCAAGACCTCGCCCGAGCCGCCGCTCCTGAGCTCATCAGGCTTCTTGATGACGATTCACAAGAGATCACTGGTGGGGTGGAGAAACGTCTCTGGGGGACCTGATCCAGATACCTCCGGGATGCCAGTGATGGCGGTTAGGTCTTATCCTGGGGAGCATCCCGCTTCCTCTGTTGAAGCTGTGTGGACGAGTTGACGGAAAAGTTATTGCAGCGCTGGCTCGGCGACTAAGTGAGAACTCCAATCATCGGAAAAGGCGCGTCTCAGCTTATGCTAGATCGTAATCTGGTTTTCACGCTAGTTCAACCATTGCCCTGATTAACTCAGGCTTAAATATGAACAGTCAAGATTAACCATCGCGTTCTTATATGCGGGCGATCGAATCACAGAGAATGTGGGTTTCGATTTTGGTTAGGCCGAACGCCTTCAAGCCTGAGTCTATCAGCTCGGTCGGTGAGCAACATTCTAGCGGGTGCGTGTGGAGACCGCCACGTTGACTCGGAAACTTCTCGGGAATTGCTAGAAGATCTCGCTGGTCGAATTGATGTTGAACAGCCTTTCGCACCGATCGATGTGAGTCAGCTTGAACTTGCTTGAAAAGTTATATTTGTTTTCAGAGCTTCAGCATTCTCCGTTCTTGTGGGGCGCTGTTGAAGCCGGGGAAACCAGTGGCAGAACAAACCGCGAAGTTGATCAGGGTTTGTTGCGAGCACATTTCATGCAACTACTCTGACTACGAGCCGCGAACGCTGGTATTTTCATTGCATATGTTGTCACTCTTCGAGCCTGACCAGCGTCTACTGCGGACTCTCCTTCCGGTCACTGAGAGGTTTCCGTTGAATTTACAGACGATGTTGTTGGGAATCTGTGAACGCGGCAGAGACGTCGAGACAGCTATAGAAATCCTCGAGCGTATAGCCAAGGTTGATTGTTCGGATTCTGGGGAGGCTGCAAGAGCCTTGAGGTCGATCTCGCGGCTTCCTAAGGAGGTCGGCGAGCGTTTCTCGGATCTGGCAAACGATCTGGCGGAGTGCGCGCTGAAGGATACGAAATCGGTTTCGAGGATATTCGCGGTGTGTTTGGCGCTGGCGAAAATGAGCCCTGAAAGAGAGAGTGTGTCTAAGCTTCTGTATCGAGTTATGCGAGCTGTTATTACAGCGGGGGAAAACCTCGACTTGGTTGACGCAGCTACGGCCACTTCAATATTAGTGAGACTGACGACTTCAACGGTGATAGATGGAGGTATGCTGATCTTCATCTATTCGAATGGCTCGATCTCGTTCTTGTTGTTTTCAGAGAAATGCAGTCCCATCATGCTTCCGAGTAGATTTTGTGACCCTGTAGGAGAGTCTATCGTCAACTGTATTCTCCGGAGTGCTACTACTGGTCGTCATTTGTCTACCAGAGACCTCGACCGGGCCAGTCAGTGTAGGGTCCATCCCCTGAGGTTTTCATGAGCCGCTTTGTTAGGTTTGTCTGGGCTAGCCCGGCTGCAGCTTAGGCCCGCTGATACTGAATCACTCGAGCGGTGTCTCGCCCACACGATGACCAACTCGAT